GAAAACCCTTTAGTTTACATGAGCGATCTCAAATGTGAAAAGGCACGAACCATACAACAAACCAGACTTCAAGACTTAACAATAGTCTAAAAAGCTACTTACTGTAACCCAAGTCAATGTATTAAGGTAGTTGTTATTCCAAAACAAAGTATTTTTACAGTGGATCAGCTGTTTCCATTGTTGTATTGTTTCTATTTTTATTCAACGGTCACTATTCTTGTTTCGTTTTGTCATATGTTGTTGCGACTTTGTTAAGGTATTTATGTTTTGTTCTTACTAGTAGGTTCGCTCGCTGAGCTAGAGATACAACTGGAGGCATGGTGGAAAGAAAATACATAGGTGTGCTATTCCCGTAATATGCTGACGTCACTGAGACTGAAAACACCATTTTATCATTTAGCAAAATTATATAATAAATAACAATCAATGGGACTGTAATTAAGCCATAGCCAATGTGCTGATTGTTTTTAGCTAGTTGGTACCAACATAACAAAATAGTACAGCATGTCGATTTTCTAGCAGAGTTGCCGTGCCAGTGCTACACTCCAGTTGTATTATTAGCTCAAATTAAATAACTACTTTTCTGGCGGATTAACGTCAAACTTTGTACTATAAAGTTTTATTTTTCAGCATAAATTTTTGTATTACTGGAATGAAAGTGTTGTTACAGATTTTATTTAGCTCATACTGTGAAAAGATCAACATAGTTTTAATATTGTATGTGCCAGTTACGAGTTAGTTTTATTTGTTTGATATTTATTTTTGAAAAGAGAAAATACCAGAACATAAATGCTAAATGAACAGAATGACATTTTTAAATATTTTGAACTATAATTGAAGTAAAGTAAGTGTTTATGCACAAGCGCAAATTGTTTATGAAAATTATATTATGATGGAAAGGCAGGAATGTTCTATTTCAGTACCGAATCTTTTAAAAAAATTTTTTTTAATTTTTTACCTATTAGGTTTCGCTCTTGGTCGTTAAAGACTGTCTTATTTTTCAATTTTAACTCTATTATAAGCTCCAGACTTAATTTTTTTTTTTCAAAATTTCTGGATATGACGGCTCTAAGTGTAGAAATCATCATCATTATGGATACTTTAAGGTAATTTATTTGTTTGTATCTCTAAAAAATATATTTTTTTACATTAATTTCTTACTTGGATTTTAATTCTTACACTTACTATAATAGATGCATTTGGTTTCAATATCCATACAAACTCTCTTATACGTTATCGTAAGGACTTTTTGCTACACTACAACGTTTTAATAGGACTTTCCAGGCATGAAATTTGTCCAAAAAACAGCTGTTTTCCAACTGTTCAATCAAATGGTGTTTCATTACGTACTACTAAACTGTAATTAATTTTTACCAGACACCAGCTGATTATAGGCCTTATTGGCAATAAGTCAACGAACAATAAAAGAAAACATAACCTCTCTAGAAGTTGTGCATAGGCCTAGAATAGTTTATTTTTATTTTATTTTTAGGTTAGTAAGGTGAAAAAGTATCGTACATCAATCGTCCAAAATTTGTTCACCGTACTCGTATTGTAATCCCCCCTCGTCCGGTAAACTTAGTAACGTAATATACAATTACAAATATACATTGACTGTGAGGATGTAAGTATACCCTCTTTTAGAACGTGATCCACTTGCATGCCTAGACGACAGTAGTCTATTAACGTGATGAAAAACAAGCGGAAATGCCAATCACGAAATTTGATTGGTTAATTAATTGAACCTGAGGCCCCTGACTACCAAGTTGGACATTGAACTGCCGTTTGAACCCCACTGGGAGCAAATACTGTTTAACATGGTCTACATTTAAATGTTTACATTTGCGTGGATAAAAATCTCTAAGCTGTTTTTCCTTTTCACTATTACATAGGTGACTGATACAAATCATATATATTATTTTGAAAAACTATTTGATAGTTGGATTAATTGTAAACTGGTGTCATTTATTGAAGTTAACATGTCAAATTATGGTTTCATTGGTATAGCCAACTCTCCTAGTAGAAGTGTCAGAGGACTTATTTTTTGCAATTACAGGGCCAATCTGCTTTGAATTGTACAGTTAGGTTCTTTAGCATTTAATGAAAGTTAATAGCACTATTGAATATATACCCTATATATACCCTAGGGTATATATTCAATGATAGCACTAATCTATGGATAAATTTCCATTTATCCCTTAAAAATCATAGCATTTCCACCCTAAGATAAGGCACAGGGAAATATGCACTGCTTTCAATAATTCTGTTGAAAAAATTTAATTATTAAAATAAATCTGTACAATTCCTTTTTACACTTTTTTTTAATTAGGTTGTATTTATATGGGCATTCATAAAGTTAGTTTTGGAATTATGTCCTATTAATTATGAAAGTATAATGTAAACTGTTCTCTTAACTATTCTTTAGAAAAACTATAGTATTACTACCAACAAAATAAAAAGCTCACTTTAGCTCGCCAAGTGTCACAGTAATATGTTAATGATCTTTAAATATTTGTTGACCATTTTTGTTAACTTTACTATATTTGGTATGTTTTCAAATAACACAGCATATGTTCTTCATTGATTTGCCTGCTTCTCTGTTTGGTTTTTGATAGAGTATTCAACTATCTCTATCATTCGAGTCGTTGCTCTGACAAGAGCTGATAAAAGATTATCAGTGATGATTTATTTATATTGAATTTTTACTTGTACTGAGAGGGTATGTTTTGAAAGAGGTTAAAATTACACGGGTGAGTTATTTTTGTTTTATTTTGTTTACGTCACGGTACTAAAATTTGAGGAACAGTAAAAAAGAAAATATGAAAACCTGTTAATGAATTCCGTCTTGTTCCTTTATCTTGTCCTTTTTTATAAAGCTGGAATTAATTATTTTTGTATTTGTGCAATCCTCTACAAGGTTATCATAATCTTTTCCACGTCACCCTTGTCTTGACCAATTCAATATCTCAAAACTGCCCGTAAGCTTACCACTCAAAATACTAAACATACTCGTTTTCTACTCATGTAAAAAAGTTTAATGTGCAAGTAATTGACAAATCAAGTGGTTTTCATACGAAATTTAAGGATTAAAAATCCCCTAGTCACAAGTAATAGTTATTTGTGTGACTAGTGGTGAAAGTGGCACTTTGCTGCACACGAGAGCAATGTTTACGCTCGAGCCGCAGGCTAGTGCGGAATGATCTCGAGTGCAGCAAAGGCCTTTTTCACTCGTGTTACACATTATATTTTTCCTAAAGTCACTATAAAGCATATAAATAATTAGTCTTTCAAACACTATACAACACGTTTTTAGGTTCAGCTGGCAACACAAATAGGTGCCCTAGAGAAAGTAGTACCCGCGGTCCGTATCACTCCGCTGTTTTTCATCGGCAAGAAATGTGCTCCGCGTTTTGAGAATATAGTTCCGTATGTTTTTGTAATTTGAAGTGGTTTCCGCGCCTAAAAAAATGCTTTACAGGTATTTTCTTGTTTATTAAGATCGTAGGAATGTTTTAAAAACGTTTAAAAGAAAAGTCCAGAAAGTTCAGAATTACCGAAACTATAAACACGAAATGACAGATTAAATCGTAGTTATAATAGTCAATCAGCTGCTCATAGTATTATTATCTTTAAGTGTTGCCAACCTATTTCCAAGCGTACACGGATTACGTGCATAATAGAACCACGTTGTTTTGTGTTGTTTCGTTGGAATCCTGATGTGCGGCAAAGTATAAACCGTACGACAAAGTATAAACCGTACGGCAAAGTATAAATATGCAGCAATTAGCAGCTTTCTGTACTATAAACAGTACAAGGAAGCCAACTTTGTCGGGTGACTGTAGGAAAAGGTATTTTCCTTCTGTAACCTATTTAATGTAGAGAGTAAAACCATAGATAAAACATACTGGTTAGTCTATGGTAAAACTTAACAAAGAAAGAGATGCCTAAAAATTTGGACAGAAAGAGAGAATCGTGTTTTTTTCATTCTTATCTGTTAGTGTAAAAAAGGCCACATCCAAAATTTTATGTGAATTAATCAAAATTACATAGGTAAATGGCAAAACATAGTAGTTCCTATGTTAAAGTTCAATCAGGCAATAGTAATGTCCTTCTCTTGTAAACACATATTTTTGTAGTCTTAAAGTTTTAAATTCCAAAAAGTAAACCGTCAAAAAGTTTTCAAAATACGTGATAGAGACTTAAAACACTGAGCATAAAGTGAATTTTCAACCCATTTCCACTTAAACTTGTTTAAATACCTCAAAACTTATCATTGCATAAAAGTAAACTTGTATAGACATTTAAAGCATTAATTTGATTCGTCGGATAGGTGGAGAAGGACAAAAAACAGGATGATAACTACGTTTATTTAATTTGTATTTCATTTCTAATATATTAAATTTTTTTTTTTCTTTGTAAATTTTTTAAACCCTGATCTTGTTATTTTATCTTACGATGACATTTTGTTGGATAGCATCAGTTTAGAATCGATCTTTCTTCAAATCAATTAGTCAATTAGCTATATCAATTATTTAAGATGGGGACGCCAATATGTGCGTTTTGTTTTACCCAAATATGAGTAAAGGATGAGTGTAGGGTGAGTGGCGCGATCTTGTAGTCTTGTCAGTGACTTAAGGCCGACATGTTCCTACACAGCTGTTAATTAATACAGCCAATGGCAACTAAGGGACCTACAGTTTATAGTAGAATCCGAACCACATTTTTCCTAGTAATTAACTAACTGGTCTAATTATCGGGATAGCACTGCGGATAGTCGTAGTACTCACTAATGCGGACGTTAATCCACATCATGGAACATCACATCCACAGTGCATGCCTACAAATATCCACAATTCGTGACCTCCTATTAGCTGGATTACAGGACGACGCCACCGTCCCAGTCATCTTCCCTGATAACTTCAGATATAAAATCTAGCTCTGAAACAACCTGGAATAAACTCTAGTAGGAAAACACGATGTTGGTAAAAATAATGTTTCAGCTCTCTCATGACCTCCTACACCCTGATACCTCGGTCCGGCTGGTCACCTACCCCCATCTCCACCCAGAAGATGGCTCTTCTAAAGTCACCGGTGGATGTTGTCTTCTTCGCCTACACCAGGAAGAACTACGCCAAGTACGGGGGTAAAGACTCTCCTGGACCGGAACCGAACCACGAGGAAACAGTGGCTGAGCTCAAGTACATAGCGAGAGGTGACATGATCAAGGTTCCAGACACGAGATACAAGTAAGCACTGTGTTCAAATTTGTAAACAAGATAAAGCAAAATGCAAATTGTTTTTACGCAACAAAAACTACACTACTGTAAGAAAACTTGCCAAAACAAGCTCATATGTTGGTAACCCTGTTTTCTTTACGTCGCGTCGTTGCCAATCAGCTGATACATTGTTGCATATTTATCTATGAGCTTTAGCCTTGTTAGTAATTTATTATGAATAAGACTCAACATGGTGTACCAACGTATGAACTTGTTTTGTCGTTAAAATGTGTCTTCACGGTGTTTGGAATTTTCGTAGGGTTAAAAAAATAGATAGGATATCTAATTCAGTAATGATTTTTAATGATACCATTCATTTTCCATAACCCTTGTATAGCTTACTGTTGTAAATAATCATAATAAACACATATATGTTTAGAGTGTTTAAGATGTTTAACTATCTTATAAATACAAGTAGATGGGGGGTTCCAATTAGTTTTTTTTTTTTTGTTTTTTTTTTATTAGACAAATATTGTTACTGTTTAAGAAGTAGTATAACTGAGTACGTACGGTTTTTAAGTTCTGCTGTCGACTCAAGATAATAAAATAATAAAATAAAATAAAATATGGAACAAAAAATGCAGTTGATATGCCTTTTGTGAGGTTTATTCAGCTGTTCGAAATAATTTCTTGAAAACACAAAAATACGTCAAATGACACTTGTAATTTGCACTTACAGTATACGGTTTACTCGTAGCAATTCGCCTATCCTATTGGGTCTGATGATGATTGGAGTGTCCAATCGAAATCGATCGCCACTCACCATCTTTTATATGTATTTACCGTATTGTGGGTAAACAGTCATAAATATAATAAGTATTATTTTACATATTTTTTGTGCTTTCAGGTAATTTAATAACACGTATGATGCTAATAAAGAAGTTATTTAAATCATTTCTGCATATCATGTACTGTAGGCCTAATATCTATATATTAATAGGCAAGCATGTTTCTTTAAAACCTTTTTTCTCAACACGTGTACATCAGGGAAAATCTACGCATACTGTTAGAATGATATTTTCCTGTAGATGTGCACAATCCCTTTAAAAACTAAATTAGGCTCAAACATAAGCACAAAAAATTAATTTGAATTTTAAACAAAATTAACATGGGCTTTATGGGTTGCCATGCTGGTGACGAAATAACAACGAAATATAAACAGAAAATCAAAACAAATGGAAGAAATTACAATCAAATGTTTTATTTACAGAGTGGGGTGAAAAATAGAGAAGCCTGAACCACAGATAAAACATACTCCCTTGTGTTGCTTAGTCTATGCCTGTGTACCTTTGACTTACAACTAGATATTCCATCCCTATGTTAAAGTTGTCACAAGTTTTTTATGAAATTCGTCGTAGTTGATGTGGGTCACCAACTGATTGCGCTGATCTAAATGATTAATTTCTCTCGAATACACGATGATTTTTACCAAGTAAAACTTATGGAATGACATATTAAGAGCTATAGCAACTGTTATAACCCATCAGCTTTGTCAGCATTGTCAGCCACAAAAAATAAGACGGAAAATATAATTTTAGACACGCATACTGTGACTGGCTCACACAACTACATGATTTTTTTTAATAAAAAAATGCGACAACTGGTCCATATAGATGGGATGTCAACTTCAGTATCCAATAGTCAATGTGTGTACATTACATATTTTTGGTGGTGTTTTCGACCACTGGACGACCACTAGTATAAATAATTAGATAGGCATTTCTTTCTCCAGCCGATTTCAGCCTTTGAAGGCACTCGAGGTTTTTATCATGTAGCTTTTATGTCCGCTTTTATATGACTATGTGGCAGTTTCCTCTTAGGCAACGACGGGTGTGTGTATGAAGGCCGTGGATGGAAATACAGACCCTTCATTCCAGTCAAGTATGTTTCACTAAAATACTACAGGAGCATCTACATAACTTTTCTGGGTGATTTTAGTGGTAAGTGCGATGTTTTACATTTGATTGTAGAACTTTAGATCGCAGTAGATTAGTTAAGAGCTGTTGTCTTCAAATAACCAACCAAATAAAAAACTAAAATATTTCAGATCACTTTTGAACGTAGAATGTTGAAGGAGCACGGTTGTTTTGAGTCAAGGTTAAATCTTAGGAAATAATTATTTAAAAATATCTAAATTTGTCATAAGGTTGAGCTTATATTTAAATGGATTTCGTTTTAGGATCTTTATTTTGTAAGTGTTTTTTGTAAACCAAGTTTTACAAATTAATGTGTATATCTTAAAACCAAGAATTATAGTATATCGTTGTTGACACCTTTATTTTGTCTAAGTTTATAACAACTGATTTGAACTTTGCTCTAAAGAACACTTAAAATAATCTTTGATTAAGCTCTAGCTTGGGTTTGATCATAAAGCTATAGACAATTTGTTATTTCGCTGATAGATACTGAGACAGGATTCCTATATTTTACTTAAGGTTTTTCATATAATAGGCTAGTAGCATTATAGCCTGGAGTAATGTAATATGTTATTCATTAAACTAAACTCTTTTTAATTGTTTTAAATGTAAAATGTTACCAGAAAGCTAAGTAAATCGTCAGGGAGCTATTTTTTTCTGACATTTTAAAAGTAGTTGTTCATATAAATTGGGTTCCACTTCTTTTAATTGCAATTTAATCTTGTCATACTCAAGAAACCTTTTTTTACTTTGTTACTCATTCAACATTTTTGATCCATTCTATTACTTAAATAGTTTGTCTGTTTCAGAGGTTCCTCCTCCAGACTCCATGTTCAAGATGAGAGACGATTTTCTCTTAGATTCTGTCAGAAAAGGAAATTTACGGAAGAAATTTGTAATTATAACTTTTGCAACACCATGGAACACTAGCCATTCCTTAAGACATTAAAATACTTCTGGGTAAAACACTGAGCTTTACTACAGTAGGCTACGTAACTTAAATCTAAGTTATTGAAATCATTACAAATTTATACTTGAAAAATATATAGTCTTATTTGACTATTGCCCTATCATACAGTTAAAGATTAGTGATGATTATGATAGTAGAAAAGTTAACCAATGTGATGTTTTTTATTTCAAACTTCAAAGTGTTTGAGTTGTATGTTGTTCTAATTAAATGTTTTGTTACTAAATTAAGAGCTAAACTAGAATGTTAATTATTTCTTCCCTTGTACAGTATTTTTTACTAACTAAACCAAGTACAGTGGAGCCTCGATAACAAGCCATCCTTGTCTCCCTTGATAACAAGTGTTATTTTTAAATACCCTTGAATTATTTTGCCCATTATCACTTTTGTTATTGCAAACCTCAATAAGAAGTCAACCGTTATTAAGTCTTATTTAATAATCCCCATGAGAGTCTTGTTATCAAGTTTCTACTGTAAAATATGATTCTTCTGGTACTCAAAAGGCTTGTAAAGTAAGTTGTAAGTAAATTTAGTACTGTAAAATAATTTTTGAGCCTAAAATAAGGAATTTCAAACATGGTAACTAATTCTCTACAGTACTGGTCTATTGTGAGGGAGCTTACCTTAGACTTTAGGCTTCTAGAGTTGACTATAGATGGTTTATAAGCCAATGTTCTTAGTAAAATGATTTTTTCTGATGATTTTTTCTATAGTTATATTTACTATAGAAAAAACTGAACATATAACAACCACACAAATCATCTCAACAATAGGGACAATCATATAAAATTACATTTTAATGCCCTATGATATTTCTTAGTAGAGTTATTCATAAAGTATGTATTAGCATAACGAATTAAAACTCTTTTTCTTCCATTATTAAAAAACTATTAGACAAATTAAACATTGTTTTATCTTAGTTATACATTTCGCAAATATGCCACACCATAACATTAACGAACGTTGTACCGCATACTTCTGTGTAAATAGTGTAGAGACATACTATAATCTCTTTGAGGACACCAAACACCATGGGGAAATACAGCATATATGGTATTGGAGAAAACACAAGAATTTCTACATTAACAGCCTCAAAACAAGACATTGCAATAATCATTTAATTAAATTTCAATTTATCACGTTGTGAATCAAGGGGACAACTATTTGCATTAAACAAAGGTTTATTCCACCTTAATAGTACGGTAAACATACAGTCTTAATATTGTAAACAAATTCAATTTTTATTTATGAAACTCCCTAAGATCTAGCATAACAACAGCTTGGATCAACAAGCATACTTGCTGGTTTGAAATGCACTTGAAGATACGGTGCAGAATTCTGATTAAAAGGTAACCTTTTGTTCGCTATGTAAAGCAAACCAATTCCTTGTCCATGGATTAGCATTTAAAGTAACCAACGTCTTCTTGTGACATTCAGATCTCATTATTGGCAGTAATAATCTTCTTTTGAATCTTTTCTGGGAGAATCGACCATTTTTAAAGAATAGAAAAAGGGATTATTAAGATGAAGTCTTTCATGAGAGTGTTCAAATTTCTAACGAAATTGGTGCTCATTTCCAGTGGAGAGGGAATACTCGTGATAGTTTTATTATTTAATTAGACTGTAAACTCCTGACTTATTGGGGATTGGATGGATAGATTTGTGAGAGGGACACCGAAAAAAAAATGTTTTTGGTGTTTTTTAATAACTACCTCTTTTGGTAAAATATCAAAATAGGTACTTAATTTAATTTTAAATCAAAACTTATAATCTATAGCACAAGTTTTGTAAGAAGGCTAGTAACAAAAATGTACAAAGATTTCAAAACATTATAGTCCCTATATTCCTATTGGTGAGTAAAATAATAAATTGCAGTAGATCTTAAATAAACGGTATCAGCATTCTGACACATACTTTCTCCCATAAGTTTGTCAACAACCTTCATCATGTGTAAGCGGTGAGAGTAAATATACGAAAATGGGATTTGAAAAATTTGTTCAGAATTTAAAGGACTATAACATACTAAATTGTTATCAAAATTGTTCGAGCCAATTTTGGGAAAATCCGATTTTTCCGTTATGGGGTTTTTATGGGAAAATAACATAATTTACAATAACTTTTTAATTTACAATAACGTAATTTTTACAGAAAAGGGATTGGTACCATTTTGTTCAGAATATAAAGAACTATAACATACCTCGTAGCAAAAAACACCAATTATTATCGACATCATGTTCAATCGCTACACCATTGAACATAATATCGATAATAATTATTGGTGTTTAAACATGCTAACACAAGTTTGAAGTCCATAACAAAATATTACAATCACTTTAAATTGTCCTATATGCTGTAACATTTTTTATCGGCTTGTAACTTTATTACACATTCTAAAATGTGGGCAAAAGTTAAAATTATGAAAACACGGGTCACAATGGCTGTTTAAAACAAGACGGGGCAAAACTATCTTGGCTACGACATAAAATAAAATTGTTTTAGTCGCACGTGTCATACCCATTATGAAAGCTGGGTCAGGCTACTTAAACCCCGCTCAAGACATTTTGAACTTGACAAAACCATTTCTAAAGTTGCAACACAATGGTTGTAGTTTGGACTCCAACTACCTCAAGCCTGATTCAACTACATTACAGACTTGGGTGATTCAGGCCTTGGATTGCATAGTAACAAAATTCAATGGATTCAGCATTGGAGTCCTTCTTTGTTATACAGTTATTTCTGAAAAAATAAGTACAGTATTTTTTGTTTGCTGGTGGAACCAATAAATTACTGTGTTGCAAGCTATGTATTTCAAAAACTGATACTCATTATATATACCAATTTGCTTTATCGCATGACAAAAATCAACTGATAATTTATAACTACAAGCATATAAAGCACATTTAAAACAATTTCACTAATAAAAAAATAATACGTGAAATGAAATTTTATTCTTTCCCCCTATATTTGAAAACTGGGTCACCCAGAACATCAAGGTCCTATGGGAAGCATTATACAAGTAAGACCTAAAATATGAAAACTTTTTCTACCTATTTGTGGTTTCCTTTTAGGTAAGCTTTTTATGGACTTTAGCAATATAACTGGGTTCAGCCAGTTACACATATCTAAAAGCGAATAGAGATTTGTAGGGTTTGACTCAGGCCTTCAACATATTATAAGTACAAGTATCTTGATTTAACTACTAGTTACGCGGTATCCTCTCATATAATACGTATACTAAGATATATAATGATGTGCAGATTCAGTACAATCATACATCGCTGTGCCAAAGGTACAAGTTAAGGCGTGAATTTAAATGCATAAGCGTATTCAGATGGAAATCAGCTGATGCGAGACAGAGTTCTTATTGTTGAGGTAATTGAATAGAAATCAGTTGTTCATGTTAATTAGGATATGTGATTTAATAATTCTCTGTTAATTTTTAGTAATAGTGAATTTATGAAATTCCATCTGTACCAGCATTTGTCTGCTCATTTCTATCGTGTATGGCGTTAAACTAGCCTACAGCATAGAAATAAGCTAGTTATTTAATTGTCATCTTCATTCCTTTGCCCTTTCATTTTAACATTCCTGTTTATGAGTAATTCCATGATGTGCCTTCATTTAGGTACAGATAATGAATTTGTAGGTCACTATAGGCATAATTTAAGTCTGAATAGTCTACAAGCAATGTCTCATTGAATTAGATGATCCAATATGGCAGTATGAATAAGCTATAAACATTTTTTTAAATTTGTTTTTAAACTTATGCCAGTTACAGAAAAAATATAATACTTGTACTTAAAACAAATAAAAACTTAGTATCGATGTTCACAGGCCTCAGGGTTCAGATTTAACTTAATTAGAGATTTCATTGTCACACTATGTCTCTTTTCAAAATACGTTTTTCCAAAAGTGGATGATTTCAAAATCCGTCATAATATTTTATACATAACTGGATAACTTGTGCTCAATTAAACTGCTGGCACTTAAATCCCAAAAACTTTAGTATAGGTTTTTGAAGCTCATAATTTATTTCCCTCAGGCACTTTTCAGGATATCTACGTATCTATAATGATTGCAAACATAACAACGCAGCATATAAAAGATCCTTCCATTTCTTTGACAATTTACATCAAGACTGGCTAAACTGTGCAGAGTCAAATTAAGACAGTTTTGCCTAAATCATACATATAAAACGTTTCTACACCATTAGGCGTACGTTTTTCTTAGAACAAATTAAACATTATTTTTGTATTTTTTTCATTTTACAACCTACAATGTTCTAAGCCATACTTTGGCTACATTGATAAGTATTACTTTAGATACATAACTCTAAAATGCACCAAAGCAAAAATATCGTTACGGAAATCACCTTTTACAGCTGTACAAGCTGGGTCAACACTTAGCTCTCAAATTAGCTCGAAGCACACACTGGAGCTGATGCCATTCAACGCACATCGATGAATCAGTTTATATTTACCTGAAGAGCGGGGTTCGGATGCCAGCGTACCACACATAGCGTGGAGCCAGCTCATTCTTTTGTACTCTGTTTGATCTAATTTCGTCTTCTCGGTTCGGTTTTTTATTAAGTCACAGTACAGTAAGTGTTTTCAATGATAGCAACGTAGCATTGAAGCATTTTCATAATACAATAAATAAATTGATTGGCTTTATTCGTTGATCGGGATGTGCAAAGACGGAAAATCTTCGATTGCAAAGAATGGGCCACATTTTAAGGTTTTCATCATCACATTGCGTACTTCAGGGAATATCAAACTTAGGTTATGATAATCTACAGTAGACTACCAATCAGCTGTCTGGTGCATATATCTACCTTTTACCATGGTTAAGAGTTAGATCAAAATTCATCCTTCACCTCTAACAACTCTCAACAGTGAAAACCGCTGTGCTTATTTGAGTAACCATGGCCCGAGAACATCGATGAGGCTGTTAGATGTGTCCCCGGTATAATAATTTAGCTATGGATATCAATCATAGTTCTTTAATTTTACAGAAAAATTGGTACCAAAAAGGTATTCACGGTGTCCTTCAACTCTCCCGAGTCTGGTTTTCTTTTCCTCTCTGCTGTCTAACTCAAATTTCCCCCTATGTTTTCATTAGTCCCCTTGGTACTTTGTATCTCTTGTGGTTGTGAGATCAGTCGTGCATATTTCTTCATTACCACCTAACCTGGGAACTGGATGGATTAAAGCAT